TAGATTAAAAATTTAAAAAAAAAAAAAAAAAAAAAAAAAAGAAAGAAAAGGGGGATTACTCCTTAACAGGATAAAACTATTGGTAAATCAAAGATCAACGCATGCTTTAAATATCCTTAATGTTGATCACTTAAAGGGTGTCAGATGATCAGCTATGGAGGTACTCTTTTCTGATAATATTCCTTTCTCTTAATTAAAAAAAAAAAAAAAAAAAGTTACTGTGTGCTGACCTCCAATGAGTTCTGCACAGTGGTATAGAGGGCATGTCAAAGTGTGGGCAAAGGGTCTGTTTGTTTCTACGCAGAAGATCAAGGCCTAGCTTGGATACCCAGAAAATGAACTAAGATACGATATGAGGAGGAGCTTCCGGCATCAGCACTCTCTGGAGGACTCGTGCCGGGGGATGATCATCAAAAAGCCTCCACAGGGATCCGGACGATGCTGCGGTTGTGGCTGCATCCAGCCCACCATCTCCTGGACTTGCCATAAGAAGGAGGAGGGAGATGTCTAGGCTGGCATGTGCATACAGTGAGACAACGAATTTGACTGGATCTGTACTGTTGGAACTCAACCAGGAGTTGGGAGGGGTGCAAGTTGTAGCACCCCAAAATCTCATGACTATAGACTATCTATGGTTAAAAGAACATATGGGATGTGAACAGATCCCAGAAATGGGCTGCTTTAATTTGTCTGATGGTTCAAGTACAGTTGGAAAATATCCATCATATCATAGATAAATTTTCACAAATGCCTAGGGTGCCTAAATGGTTTTCTTGGCTTCACTGGAGATGGCTGGTAATTATAGATTTGCTTTGTTTATGTCACCGTATTCCTATTATGTTAATATGTGTGTGCAAATTAGTTAGTAGTTTAAAACCTATACATACTTAAGGTACTATACAAGAAGATATGTCAAAGAAATAATCAATCCTCCCAAGTTTCCTTCATATGCTACATCTATAGCTTTTCTTCTTCCTTCCTAATTACAAACCTTAAATAGAATTCGTGCCTCATATCGAATTTACCGAGTATCATAATTCCTCCAGGTGGTAAAGATACCTCGAGACAAGTGCTGGGCATAGAAGCCACAGGGCATAAATCTGCAAAGAAGTAAAAAGCTAACCTTTGCAAACAATATGGCTTCTCTCTCACTTACCAACTTTACATTTCCCTGTATGGCCCCGGAAGATGACTGGTTAGCCAGAGACGGGTAAGATTCCTCAAGGGAGGAACAACCTAAGACAGGCACAGTCGCAGGGGGGCCATCAGGTGAGAATTTGGGGATCAACAGAGGTGAGGCTCAGAACCTCACCCCCCCTGCTTTGAGAGAAATCTTCTGCATCCGTGGATGTCTTGCTGCCCTTGTCTAGCCTGGATTAATACTTAGTCCATAGGCACACACCTGATCATCTGATCATCTACATTTGCCTTCTTACAGCACTAAACTATGTTTTCTACCTTTATCTTGCATCTACCTACCACTTCAGCATTTTATTAAAAATAAAAATAATAATAATAATAGGAGAAATGTGGGATCAACATATAAATCAAGTACAAAAATCAAATGAATATTCATATTTGACCTGATAGTTTATAGGTCATAATGCGTGATCAAAACCGAAAGTTTCTGTGATGAATGCCCTTGTACTGTTCACCATGTAAGAATTTATTCACTATGTAAGAATTCGTTCACCATGTAAGAAGTTGTTCGTTATGCTTCAGAAGATTGGAGACTGACGAGAATTAGGCTTGAGATGGATTAATGATTGTACATTGAGCATTGACCCCCCCCATACTGAATTTTATTGTTGTTAACAACCATTTGATCAATATGAGAGATGCCCTCTCAAAAAAAAAAAAAAAGTGGTCCTGTCCAAAGTAAATAGCTTTGCCCTCCTAGCATCTTACGTGCTAAAATTGGGGGTGAGTAGAAAAGCTGAACTGGGAAAGAGCCTGAATTCTGGGGTGTGATCTGGGTTCAAATCACAACTCTGCCACATACCAGCTGTGTGATCCTAGGTAATTTACTACCTATTGAGTCTCAGAGTTCTAGGTGAAAGGGAGATAACCTAACTTATAAAGGCCTAACTGGGACCACCAGGCAGTGGAAGCTGAAGCCTGCACTCTGTTGAAAGGCCTGTTCCATCTACCCTTCAAGACTGTGAGCTCCACTGAGTAGGTCTTTTGTAGGTCTCCATGAGTGGGCGCTCACGTCGTGCTTGGTACGGATGTGGGGAAGACGGATCCACCGGTCTTTCAAGCAGGGCTGTGGAAATCCTGACTCAGAAGTCACACCTGTGACTTGCCAGACACAGGAATGAGGCTAGCAGTAGCCTGCCTCCTTCAGCCAGGAAGAAGAGAAATGTCTGTGAGTCACTGTGGAGGTTTCACTGCAGATCCACCTCGGGAAGCCCGCGGGCGGGGGCGGTTGTCCAGAGGTCCAATCTGCGTTCCCCTGGGAAACAGGAGTGAAAAGCTGGCTGGGACTGGGCTGCAGCCTGCGGCGAGGGGTAAATGGCCTCTGCAAGGACGTTCCTGCGAGGCTGTCCGCAGGATGGCGAGAACCTGCCTCAAGCACCACGACAAGCGAAGGACGAGGGTGTGCCCCCGCGTGGCAGGCTTGCGTCCCCAGCGCACCTCCGGGAGCCCCACTCCCGAGAGCTGCCCTGCACGTTGCAGGGGACCAAGGCACAGGGCCCTGTAGGACGCGAAGCTCCCCACTGCGAAGGTGCACGCCCACCAGAAACGCCGCAACAGACACCGCCTCCGAGAGGGACCGCAAGAAGTCCGGGCGGCCCCACCCACGTACGCATACGTGACACCTCCCGCAGAGAAGCGTCGCCTCCTAGAGTTCGCCCTGGTCGCTCAAGCGCCCCACCAATCAGAGCTCCGGGATCTCTCTCACGTGGCCGCCAGCAGGAAGAGACTCTTCCGTCTTCCGCTCGCAGCTCCGCCCAAAGCGGCCGAAGGCCGCTGGCGGCACCACCCACCCACCCACGCAAGGGTCTTCTCGCGAGAGCCGCGCAGCCAGTCCTCTCGCAGGTCCGACACCTCCCGAAAACACGCCGCGGACCGGACGTTGTGAGCGCCGGATTCTGGGCGGAGTGTGGCCTGCGCCCGCCCGGCTGACAGCGCCGGAGAGGTGCACCGGCCCGACAGGTGCTCCGGGTTCACCTTGTCGCATTAGCCCAGCCCCAGGGGCCCCGGGCCCAGGGCAAATGCTCCTGGGACCGGAAGCGGTGACCCGGTTAACGCGTCAGCGGGGTTCGGATCCGTTATTTTCTGGCTTTTCACCGTCTTTGTCACCACTGAAACCTTGAGGCACGAGAGGACGTTCCAGCAGTTAATCCGAGGACTGACCTCAACTGAGATGCGGTGACGGCAGCTCTGGTTTGCGCATCCCACGATTGCGCCAGCCTCCTCACGTTGCCTCGCCTGTCCTGTACAGGCGGGCTTCGTCCCCGTTTTAGAGATGAGGAAACTGAGGCACAGACAGGCTTGAGGATCTTGCCCAAGGTTGCACAAACCCAGGCTTTGCATCTCAGCCGTGTGGCATCTCCAACCAGACAACCCCCTTCGCTGCTTCCGAGTGACCAGGCCTGCAGTCGGGTCCGGAGGTCTGAGGGGGAAAGCGGCAGTTAAATGTCCCTCGGTACACTTGACTCCCTGGCCAAAGGTGCCGGCTACCAGACCCATCCTGCCTGGAAAAGACAGCCTATCGCCGGCGCCCACCAGAGCCCCTCTGTAAATCCGGGGAGAGGAAATCCCAGAGCAAAATACCTCTAAGACCCGAAATCAGTCAAAGGGAGAAATAAAGTTTAAAATCCGTTTATTGCTTACAAACTGCAGCCCAGCGTCCTCTCTGCTCTGGAAAAAGCCAGCCAGCCCCTCCCCTTAAACTCTCCGGTTCAGACACGCCCTCTGTTGCCCAGGTAATTACTCATTGGCATGGAGATGAACTTCTCTCGACCCCGAGGATATGCAAATGCACTAAAACCAGGTGAGATATTCTGGAAATGTTACAATTTTACCCACACCCTCACACTTCTGGCCTTGGACGCAGCTTAGGAGCACAGCCCCTTGCTTGTGGGCCTGGAGAAAGGAGGAGACTGACTATGGACTCCAGGGGGAATGTGAATGCTCTGCCTATGAAGGGGCCACTTCTTAACCACGAAGTTGTCCAGGAGTGAAAAAATGGGCCCCCTCAGATACACTTCCTGAGGGAACTCCTAAGGGGATATTAAAATCGTCCCAGCTTACATTCATTCGTGCCTGATGAACACGTGTCCAACATGATACCTTGGTAGAGCCAAACCAGTCTACCTCAGCCATCTACAGTGAGTCGGAGGCGGTCCAACCATTTAAAGCACTCTGTGGAAATGCCTGAAATTCCACCATTAGCAGTTCTCTGAGATTAAGTATCCTTTCTAGATTCATTAATAGACTAAACGTACTAATGCCCTGAATTTCTGGTAGAAGAGGAGGTAAACTCAAACCTGGTGAGAGGGAAGAGGCCACAGGAAGGGGGTCCCCTCCCAGGAGGGACTGGAGAGCACCTAAGAGGGATTGCTCCACTCAGTGCAAATCCCTCAGGAAGTTCTAAGACCTGGTTCGTCTGCCCTGACACTCCCAAACCTTAGAAGGGTGCTTTCTTCTTTGGTGGGGTTCTGAGACCACATGGTCTCTGCTCACAGCCGCACGTGGCCACGTTCGAAGGCTATGAATAGGAATCCCAGCACTCTCTACTGGCCGAACTACCCTCTGGGCAGCCAAGTCGTCCGAGAGTAGGATTTCAAAACCAGGCCTCGCCTATGATTGGTCAGAACCATCTCTATTTCCCATTCCAGGAAGCAAAGATATAGTCAGAAAATAATGGGAATGTGCCATTAAACCAAAGGAAAACAAGCAAATAAATCAACTGTGTATGGTTCTAAAGAAGAGACTAAGAGCCCTAAGGTGATGTAAGCATTAAACATTATTACTAATATGGGAAAACTTACTCTTTTTGGACATGCTCTTGACTCATATCTCTTCATCTGCTCAGAGTCCTGATTTCAAAGAAAAACCCCAGGTTGGGAGTGGCTGTTACAGAAGGGGCTCTGGTCATTTATCATCTGGGGAAGAGATCTGACCTTCCTTGTTCTTCTAGAAATAAAGGGCAGATTCAGAAGGCAAAAGCATGTTCATAAATTTTGAGAAATGTTATAAAAATTAAGCATATGGTCCAAAGGAAATTAAATCCCTTTTCCGTGTGCCCACCACCATCAGCTAATGCTTGTTCAGGGAACAACACTGCTTAGATATCTGATCAGAATCAACCTGATGTGATTCTGTGAAGGGAGAGCAAGTCGCCCTCTATAACCAGTAAGCTTGTTGGCCCCCCAATAACCGTGACATCACTTCCAACCACTCTGAAGGCCAATGCAACAAGAGCTCTCAGGATCTTCCACATCCTGGTACGGGCCATCCCTCCCCTCCCTCTTCCTCCACACCTCATGCTCCAGAGGTTTGGCACAAAGCAGGTGCCTGCTAAGTATCCACTGAGTAAGCGTCAGCACCCACAGCTGGGGTAGCAGAGAAGAAATTAATGCAGGGCAGGCAGGCATGCCACCATCTCATGCCCCAACCCCACCACCTCTTACTGCCTCTTCCCACCTTCTGCAGAACTGACTCCACCTGGTATTTCTACCAGATCTAACCGATCACATCAGGGATCTTGGCACAAGTCATTAGGGCAAAGGAATTAACACTTCATATATACACAGCACTTTATATTCCTCAAAGCACTTTCACATAAATTCCTTTGAGAATATTATTATAACCCCCAGGTTAGAGATCAGGACCCTGAGGCATAGTATTAAGGGGCTGATTTGTGTCCTTCCCCCCCAAAAAAATCCATATATTGCCTTGATGCTGAGTACCTCAGAATATGACCCTATTTGGAGAGAGTTTTTCAGAGGTAAGTAAAATTAGATGAGATTATTACGGTGGCCCTAATCCAGTGTGACTGATGTTCTTATAAGAAGTCAAGAGGACACAGACACACACACAGGGACAACCATGTGAGGACACAGGGAGAAGATGGCATATACACGCCCAGGAGAGAGGTCTCAGAGGAAGCCCACCCTGCCGACATCTTCATCTCACACTTCCAGACTCCAGGACAGTGACAAAATAAATTGCTGTTGTTTAAGCAGCTACCCAGTTTCTGGTACTTTGTTACAGCAGCCCGCACTGACTAATACTCATAGGGTAGGCATGCAGCCCGTGAACAGAAGAGGCAGAGTTATACCCCCATTACTTGCTAGTCATGGTGTTCTTTCCCCTCCCAGCTGGCATGCACCTCTGCATGAATTAGGAAGAGGCACCACATTCCTCAAGATATGGTAGGGCTGTCTCCCAGAAAAGACCTAGGATGTTCTTAATGAGAATACTGTTCCTGCAGTTGCTTGGTGCCTGACTGGCACCACTGTACAGGGCAGCCTAGAGCGGAAAGCACATTTGGACACCCTCCATGGCAGAGGGTCACACAGGCCACTGGTCAGACTGAGGTTCTCCAAGCAACAGACACAGCCTATCTTGGGCCCAGGGGCTAAGATATGAGCCAGTGAGGTCTCACAGATGTCTGAACAGCGCCTGCATCAGTGGGGAGTCCTTTGGTGACCTCGGGAGCACTCCTAATGCATAGTCAGAGTGGCTTGTGCACCCTGGCTTGTAGCAGCCCTTGCTTCCTAGCACATGACACTTTATATTTTTTAAGTGCTATGAAATGTACAGCTAATTTATTAGGTTTGATTTTTGCCTAAATAATCTGAGGTTTTGATTGAATGCTGACTTGGGTCGACTGGGCCAAATGTTATATATTATGCTGTAAGTAGGTTACCTGTAATTATTTTCAAAAGGGTGGTTTTTGAAACAAGAACAAGCCAAGGGAGGTGCCAGGGAGTGGTTGGTTTCTTGGCCATTGTCCCAACATCAGCCTTCTCGTGAAACAAAAATCTGTCTGCCAAAAATAATTTATATTTTTTCAGATAGTTAAATCACTAAAGGACTTCTAGGAAGTGCAACCTCTTCTGTATCCTTTGAAGGAAAAGATTAAAGACAATTTTTCTAAGCAAAGAAAAAGGATCATATACAGTGAAAATAACAGGGAGGAGACTCATGTGAGAGAAGGTTTAAAGGTTGATGACAGTCCCACGCACACTGGAAACCCTATGCTGTATTGCGTACATGGTGGGAAACAAGCGGTGTAAAAAATAGTTTTTATTGGGCCAACACCATCTCTCTCTTAAAGAACGAATTTCTTGTTTGAGAAAACAACAGTGGCACACTGGTAGATTACCATTTCCCCAAACTGGCCACTTCCCCTGGAAACTCAGGGGTTGCCATGGGTACACATTGATGTGCAGGATGCAGCAGAAGGGATGCCACCGACTTCTGAGGCTAGGTCAGAATGCTAGCGGGGGCTCCACTCAACGCTCAGTGTCCTTGAGTTGTCCCCTCCCCGCTCCTCCTCCTCTGGTGCATACTCTGAAACCCACCACCAAGACCCAAGCCTGGCAGAGCTGCCTTGGCCCCAAGGCCACTGGGCACTGGGAGTCAGCAAAGATCAGGCTGGGTTGGTGTCGTCAGAAGGAATTGTGTTTCTGGGAGGACTGGGCTCCAGCTGGTCTGGAAGGGCCAGGGGGCTTCTGAGGAATGGGAGGCTTGTGAGGACAAGAGCCATGAGAGGGAAGGGAGAAGTGTGTGTGCAAGGGACAGTGTGGAGGCCAGAGGAGGGTCCACATGGAAGGGATTCACCCCAAGATGAGGTGCACAAGTACGCACTCCACAGCTGCCTGTTTACCAACTAGGCTGGCCGGGCGCTCTGGCGTGGCTCTGACTCATTCAGCGCCTTAACTGGGGATTTCCCGCCCCAGGGGGCAGGTCCCACTGAGAGAGGCCAGGAGGAGCCCAGGGCTCTTCCTCTGAGATAGCCTAGCATCGATTCATTCAACAAGCACACCTCCCCCGGGCCAGGGGCACTCCTGACGCTGTGGCGACGGGGACAGCCGGGACCTCTCTTTGAGGCTCACGTTCCATGACCCAGGAGGATCACGATGACCACCTGCAGTTATGGTAGCAGATGGTGAGGGCTTGGCTTTGAGGGTGAGGGAAGAGAGGAATGAGGGTGAGAAATCAAGAAATGACTTGAGAATCAAGAAATGACATAGGAACAAATGGAGTGGCAGCTGGGCAGGCAGGACCCCCTGTCGGGACCACTCTGCCAGAACCAAATGAGGGTCTGTGGTCTACCTTGACATGTGTCAGTAATACTAACGATAGCCCCACTGCCCCAAGAAACCATTCCAGATGTTCGGTCCCATTTGAAAAAGATGGCCCAGCTGCCCAGCTCTGCTTGCTAAGAGCATTTATCAGCTGTTCACCCCACTGGGCTGGGCGATCTCCAAAGACAGACGCAGATATGTGGTGACCTTACGTATCAGGGCTCTAAGGACCCGGCAAGTCCCAGAGCTCATTGAACACGCTGTTCGCCCACTAGGGCCCCCACTCTCTATATAAGGCTGGCAGCCACGCACACATACAGACACAGAGTCATCAGCACGAGTTCGGTGTTGCTATCTTTGGAAACAGTGCATGTCATTTGAGTCCCACTGAGGGCATATCCACCTGTGGTTATCTTTTGGCAGGGCCTTAGCAAAGGCATGCACTTGCACATGCCACTCAAGCAGGAGGAATTCAGGCTTGTGGCCATGGAGCTCTGAAATGATCCTCCTCTTTTACGAACTTGGGAGGTAAGACCGTGTTCAGAGCTCAGCTCAACTTTCCGAGATTTTGCAGCAATGGTTCCTCAATTTTGATGCTTACAAATCAAGTAGGTATGTGTTGAAAATTCAGATCCCTAGGTCCAGAGACCTGGAGGTTCAGACTCAGTCTCTAAAAAACTGGAATTCTGCAATTTACCCTCCACCCCCACTACCCCCGCCGGGAGCTTCAGATGCGGGTGGTCCACAAGGCACGCTTTGGGAAACTGCTGTACTGTCGTACAAACCGAACAGTAGTGTTGGAGGCAAGTTTTTTGAAATGGCGCCTCCCAGGGAAAAGACACAGAACAGCTTCCTGCTAATGCTCAAGTGCAAACCCCTCCGAAGTTTAAACAAAGGGACTCTAGAGGAGATGCCAGATGGGTAGGGTGTATTTTCCAGCTCATCTCGGGGGTCCCAGGCTTTCCCTGCGAGATTCACCTTCCCCTTGGAGTTAGTTTTTGCTCCAATTTCCATGGTACCATCAAAATTCCTACCTTAGATAGTCTCTTTGCTCTTATTCCCTGAGTATAACCAAAATTAGCTGATATTTGCAGAAGAATATTAATAAAACTAAAGCTGCAGAAAACTAAGGGGAATCCTTATTGAAAACGCAAATAGGAACGAATATGCAACTTTCCAAAATGTAGGTTTCCAGTGCCAAGATGAGCATCCACCAACGGCAAGGGGGTGGGTGCCCCCCACCCCTGCCCCCAGTATCCTTGCTGCCTGGATTCCTGACAGTTTCCATCCCCATCTAGCACAACCCGGGCCAGAAATGGAAAGATGGTTCCTCCTCCACAGGCCCATGTCCCTGCCCACAGAGTGAGCCCAGCCATGCTGGTCCCACCCGAGAGGCTGTAGTCTCTCTGGCCCCAGGCTCCAGGCTCTGGGCTCCGTAGGGATGCATTCCTGCAAATCCCATTCATCACACGTCATGGGAAGGCACAACAGACATGCCACGAGAACCCACACACAGAGCCCTTCACTCGCATGTTCCCTGCAGAGCCACTCTGACAATCCATGAGATGCAGCATATGAAATGCATGAAACATTCTTACTTAGGATTGGTCCTTTGGATTTATGTCCGATAAAAAATATCACGCTCTCCAACCAGGAAACTGAAGTCCACCTCTCCCATTACATTCATCAGTGGCCCACTTCTGATACACGTCTTCCTGAATTCTTATCTTCATAACTAGTTCTTCACCTGTAGGAAGAGACCACGGACATAATGACTGTACTTCATAAAAGAAGAGCCATGACAGGACAGAGCATCTGCGTAGATCTGTGAACTGATTTATGTGTATGTTTAACAGAGCACCTTTACTGAAAAGAATCAGATCCCACGGAGTGGAGTCTGTCCTGGAAAATCTGGGATGTGTGGTTGCCGTAGTAATTGATGCCTCCCAGAACAAATCCATGCATGGCTAATTACAGCCTTCTATTTTTAAACTCATCTGCATTCTTCTCCCCCACCCCTACATTTCTCACACCACTTCAGCAGTAAAATACTATTACTGTTATCTGTACAGCCTGTGCCGATCTCAAAATAACTTGTTTCTAGTCAGCTTCTGCCTGCCTCGGGAGGCAGAGAGGCTTGTTCTCCCAGCACATGGAAGGCAACATAGGAAGCTTTGAATGACCTCCAAACACTACAATAGGAATGAAACAGCACACGGATTTCCAGGGTTACAGCCACTGTGAGCGCCAGGGTCCAGGGTCAGGTGGAGGGGATGCCTGCTGGGCTCTCAGCTCACCACCTCCCTGCAGGTCCAAGCCCTGCACTGCCTCATGGGAAACTCTTCCGTAGCAGCCACACAGGTGATGGCAGAGCAGCACAGAGGCCGACTCAATGGTCAGCCCAGAGCCTATCAGACTGTGTCAACTATCCCACGGGTCGGGTCCAGGCCCAATACCCCCAACACAGCCTGAGGGAAACTGCTGGCAGCCTTCCACTCTCCGTGTTTCCGACTGGCTGCCTGGCTGCCTGGGGTCCTGCTAACTCCATGTGAAGGCCTGTCCTTCCCACAGTGGGGCTGGGATGCTGTGGAAATAGATGAAGACCTCTCAATGAGAGCAAGCAGAGGCTTATTTATTCAGAGCTTGCAGTAGCAAGGGAGTCAGCCACCATCACCTGCTGTATTAGTTTGCTAGGGCTGTCATAACAAAGTGCCACAAACAGCAGAAATTTATTCTCTCACAGTTCTGGTGCCAGAAGTCTGAGCTCACGGTATCTGATGAGCCATGCTCCCTCTGAAGGTACGTGAGAGCGTTTGTTCCACACCTCCCTCCTAGTTCTGGGGGCTTGCTGGCCATCTTTGGTGTTCCTGGACTTGTAAATGCATTGCTCAGGTCTCTGCCACATAGTGTCCTCACTGTGTACAGATCTGTGTCCAAATTTTCCCCTTTTAACAGGATAGCAGTCATGTTGGATTAGGGCCCTCCACTCCAGTATGGTGGCATCTTAACTTGTTACATCTGCAATTTCACAGTTCTGGTGCCAGAAGTCTGAGCTCACGGTATCTGATGAGCCATGCTCCCTCTGAAGGTACGTGAGAGCGTTTGTTCCACACCTCCCTCCTAGTTCTGGGGGCTTGCTGGCCATCTTTGGTGTTCCTGGACTTGTAAATGCATTGCTCAGGTCTCTGCCACATAGTGTCCTCACTGTGTACAGATCTGTGTCCAAATTTTCCCCTTTTAACAGGATAGCAGTCATGTTGGATTAGGGCCCTCCACTCCAGTATGGTGGCATCTTAACTTGTTACATCTGCAATGACTCTATTTCCAAATAATATCATATTCTGAGGTCCTAAGAATTAGGGCTCCAACACATGAATTTCTGGGGGACACAACTCAACCCATAACACTTGCCCCTGCAGAGACTCAAAGGCAAGCAAGGCAGGGGTGCGGGGAAGCCTTATACTAGACAAGAGGGGAGCTTCAGCGGGGCCCTGGTGGGAGGCTGTGGGCACTGGGATGCTGGGGGCAGCCAGCTGGAAGCGGGCACCCTATGTGATTGGTTCTGAGTGCGGACTTAGCTCTCTCCGGTTGGTCCTGAGTTAGAATTAGGGGCAAAATTCAGGGAAGTCAGCAGCCATTGAGCAAGCCCTGGCTGTTTGGAGCCAGTTGCTGCAGAGGTTCTGTCTTTATGTATATGGCTGTCACCACTGTCCGTTTGTCAGTCCATCAGTACAACTGCCACCTCCTGCAGCCCTCAGGGTGCTGCTGGGGCCGGGGGCCTGGAAGGGCCTGGAGGGAGTCTAGGGCAGGTCTTCAAGGCCCAGCCCTGGAAAGTCTTAGGGCTCACAGCGCAGATCTGACCAGACCCTCACCCAGAGCAGAGACCAAATCCCCAGGGGCCCCTTCTGCAATCTTCCCTCTATACTCACAAGGGTGAGCACAGGTGTATAGTGGACGGTGTAGGTACATTGACCAAAGAGCAGCCATCCTCAGGCTTTTTGTCTTGCCATCCTGGAAGCACCCCAAAGAGCTTTCGATAGCTACCAGTACTTCCCACATTAGAACCAAGAAATCCCTAAAATATTAAACCCATTACACGTTAATGTACATATTTTTTATGAAAAATTAGTCATTTCCAAAAGAAAAACGTGGCAAAGGCAGCATTATTTTAAATATTTGCATACCTCTTGAGTGTCTGGTTGAGTAGAAGCCAGCTGGACTCTCATGTCTGCTCCTACGTTCAATTTGTTGTAATATCACACATTACATAGCCTCTGGAAAACCCCATATTACAATCATGAGAGTGAACAAAAGCTAATAACATGGTAGAATTATCACGAAAAACTGTTTTGACCTTGCAGACCTCTGAAAGGGTCTCAGGGACCCCCGGGAGTCTGTCCCCAGGCCACGACCATGGACACAAGCTTAGGTACTTACAGAGGGATCAGGTCCACAGCCCACCTGGGGTAGGTGGGAGAAGGGCACGCCGCGGTGTGAGAGGCGAATCATGAACATCCCAGTCAAACAGACCGAAGTCACACAAGTTAGGAAAATGCCCCAAACCTGAGCAAAGAGATGTTTGAGACTTGGGTCAAAGTCAAGGACTTTCAATGTGTTAACCACCCACCTGAAAACGCAAAGGCAAAAGAGCAGAAATGAAAAAATAAATAACACCCCATTGTCTGTTAGTCCTATTTTTCCCCTAGTAGTTCCAAGAGTACCTGTGATTAGGGCCTGACTGAACTGATGGGTGCTGGGGAGCACAGCACCCCCGCCCGCCCCAGCACAGAGCCCTCGCTAGGCCACCTGGCCAGGAAAGCTGACGGGCAGCCCCAGAGTGATCATGTGGGGGCATTTCTCTTTTCCAGACTTCTCTCCTCTTGGTCCCACCTTCTCTCCTTTTTCTTCTAATTTCTCTTGTCTTTTTCTCCTTTCCCTTCCCCCTCTGAATCTAGTTATGCTGAATTATGGTTTACCCTAACGTTTAAGATGAGAGAAGCAGGCAACCAATGACTAGAGTAGTTTAAGACTAACGTCCTTCTTTAAAGTGGTTGATTTTATGTGAATTTCACCTCAATTGAAAAAGATAAATGAATTCCTTTAAGCCAAGTTTAATTTTCACATTTTTTAGTCCTATATAGTGTTTATTTTGGCCATTGATTTAGTAAGGAGGAGAGATCTGGAACCGTTTCCATAAAATATAATATATGATACATGCGTTCATTTTTAAAGAAAAGTTGTTGAATCATGTAAAGTTTCCAGTGGTTATGCTCCAAATTATTTTAAAATATAAAGAACATCAAATTAAATATGGATGCAACCATAGGGAATCAGAGATACTCAACTCAGTTTTGAAAATGCAAGCTTACATATTAAGAAGTCACCTGCTTGATGGACCTGTCACCATAAAAAAAAAAGAAGCAGTGTACCTGTCTATCTCTATCCCAAAAGGCACAGTGACATACATGGTGAAGAACTGTCGGGGAAAGTAAATATACAGAAGGATGAAATTGGAAATTGGAAGTAACGGTCCTCTATGGCTATAATAATGCTGCATAACAAACAACCCCAACATCTAGTATCTTGTTCGGTCATGGTGTTGCAGGTCGATTGTGATTTGGCTGATCAAGGCTGCGGTTTGGCTTCCAGTCTCTTCCCCATATTCTCATGAATAACTGGCAGGAGCACAGGAGGCAAAGAACACCAGACAGACACATTTAAGACCTCTATCTGTAAAACATTTGCTAACATTCCACTGGCCAAAGCCAGTCAACGTGTCAGACCCAGTATCAGTGAGTATACTGTGTCCACAGTGAAAAGAGGATTATTCTGAACAATAATCCATGTGGTCAACTTGGGGCAAAGAGAAGAGAGCAACCAAGATAAAATGTGTGGAACAGCATCTTTCAGAAAACTTAAAGACATGTTGTTTGATTTAAAGTCTGGTATGAAAGAGACCCTGTAAGGGAACATTTTGGTAAGATTCTTCTAAAATAATAGATTCTTGTAAAAATGGGATTTATTTCTAACTCTGCATTTTGAAACACACATATTAAATTATAGCAAATAGAAAGAATGTACTTTTTGTAGGAAAACTCTAAATCAAGTCATGCTACCTAAGGACAGATGGTGAACAGAGGCTTTCCTCACTCATTCATTCATTTTTCATTCATGCTAGACTGTTCCTGAGTGACAGCCATGTGCCAGGTGCTATGCTGGGTTGTGGGGGATACAAGGGTGAAAAAGACACCCAGCCAAAAGCACTCACAATCCAGTTGGGGAGGGAAAAAAATAAATAAATGCTCATAAATAACAAGAACTTGAAATAAAAAGTGATAAATGTCATTTTTTAACACAAAGATAAAAGGCTCTGGGGGTTCAGCAGAGGAATCATTACTTCCAATTACTGAATAGTGGTAATATTGGGTTGACATGCTTGTAAGAAATTCATAGAACTTTCCAACCATAGAACAATTCGTCCAAACTCTTTATTTTACAGAAGAGGAAACTGAGGCCCAGAGAGATGAAATAAGTGATACAGGGACAAAATTTTTCTCTGCTTCTTTTCTAGGTTCTTGGCAGTTCTAATAACCAAATTGATATAAAACAAATTAACAGGAGAAAAGCAAACAAAAGTTTAATAACATGTATGTCTCCATATACATGGGGGAGACCCAGGAAAATGTAGTAACTCTCCTAAATGGCAAAAGCCTTAAATACAATCTTCAGCTACAGACAAAGGAGGGTGGGGGCAGGGAGGCAGTTACCGGACCAGAGGTGAGCAGGGCAAGCACAGTAAACAGGGTCAGGCTGGTACCAGGTTTAAGCCCTGCCTTCTCCACTGGGAACAGTGCCTAGACATTTGGACATCTCCTCTTTCTGGTGCAGAGGGAGAAGCCCTTCCCGAAGGAGATTCCCCTTACACGGCCTGCAAACGCCCCTTCCTACAGGGCAGCTTCCACTCTGTGTTCAGAGCTCCGCCCATGGCTCTGCTTCTCATCAGCCAGCCCAAAACAATCGATATGCCCAAGAGGTCCATTTTGGGGTGATATATTTTGTTCCCCTTCAGTCCCACCTTTGAAACTTCAAACAAGTTTCACAGTAGTCCAGAAGCTCAACTGACTGCTCCAACTCACTGAATGCATCACTCAGTCCCAAGATAGGTCAAGTTTCATTTCAGGAGGTGGTCTTTCAGGTGGTTTCCCAAAGTGAGGCCTATATTATACAGGAAATCAGTTATTTAACCAGTTTTAAGCCCAGGGGGCAGCCAGTCAGGATTTCTAGATGTCAGGGTGGAAGAATCTTCAGATAGTGAGAGCAGGCAGAGGAAATTTGACAGATTTTCCTGGTTTGCAGTTTAAATGTCTTTCATGATCTCTCTGAGTGGCCTGCACAGCAACAGGTATGAAGACTGTCTAAACATGAGCTGTTGTGGGGATTTGGCTGAAGTTAATATCAAAGTGTTCACATTCAATCTGCAGAACTTTGGGGGAAAGGGCAGTTTTTGTTCTTAGTGATTCCAAGTCAAAATGTAGAAGAAAATTGGAAATGTTAGTTTGGAGATGTGTAGCCAAATACGTGAGGAAATTAGAAGAATTCAAGGTCCAGTCCATATTACAGATAAATAACAGAACTAGAACCTAATATCCAAAAGTGTATATTATAGTTTCTATTGAAATGTAATTTTTCTCTGTATTATTACCATTTCTACCAAAAATAATTACAGTTAAACTAATTTGTTTGCAAAATAAGTCCAGTCTCAATAAACATGGCCTAATTATTTACACAGGTGCAATAAAAATAGCGATTGACCATATAAACTCTTCTAATCTGCTTTACTAGAATTTTTCAGAAAGAACCTTAAGTGGAACTCTTAAAAGCCTCTCAAGGCTAGGAAACCAAGCGAAGAAATTTCCAGACTCACCTGCAATACCTATGGCTTTGGGTGAATTTTCTTCTCTTATCAAGGCCCCCAAATATTCTGAGGTTCCTGCACCTGATGGGAAGTAACCTTCCGTACTTGATTGGTAAGGCTGCTGAAAACCATGCAATCAAGGCACCAGGCCTATCTTTCCAAGGGGTTTCATTGGCTCCATAAAGTCAACCTTGCTCTTTAAAGCTGTCTGGTCATATCTGTGTCCATGTACATCTCTCTCAAATGTGACAATCCAGTCAAAGCCTTGGTAATTGTGTCCTGTCACAAGAAAAACAGATTCTTATTGAACTTATGCAAATAACTGTATTGACATGAAAATAAGAACATTCACTAAAAGTTTCCAAAATCGGGAGGGATCAGGTAGAAAAAAAAAGATAAATATTTCATCTTTGTTCACAAAGATATACTTTACTATGTTGCTCTAAGACAGATAGCCTACTCAATGGTATGATCTGAAAGTTATCAGAAACTTGTTTTCAGAATTCTTTGCATGAATCTCACTAAAGAGGAAGTCCTTTTGCAAAAACATGAGAGTAAAGAAATAATTGTAAAGGACAAAAGACTTTAAAATAGTCTTCATTAAAGTCTGATGAGAGTTCATTATAATGCAGTTAACAAGGAAATTCCTTTATTTCTGTAACACACATTTTAAGATAAAAATAATAATTATAAGTGATAATGATGTTGTTCCAGGACATGTCAGATTTCTAGGAATTTCATATAATTTCTGGAACACCTAAATTAATAACATTTCTACAGATATCACAGATTATAAAATAATGCTTATCTATTTGACCAAAGTGGCAATAAAATATTTCAAAAGGCAAATACTGAAGGTTACACTGTCATGAGCAAAACTTAGCTCTTAATATTGAGAACTCAATTTTTCTAACTAATCAAAGGCCTGATGATACAGAGCACAGAAAATCATTTTGATAAAACAAAATCTTTGCTTTCTAGGCAGATTACTTAAAAAGCAAAAAACCTTTTGCAATCTCTTAACAAGAGCAGACCAAGAAAATGTGGTTCTTTTAGTACACAAAAGAAAATCAAGTTTCAGTTTCACGTAAGTGTGCTACTGGTTTTAAAGATTAATTTTATAACCACTGTAATAAATTTCTTCAGTTTTATCCAATTATACCACACAAAGTAAGATTCTCTTCCCAACTTTCTATACCATTTTTATTTTAGGAAAATTTTACTTTCTTCTTCCTTAACAAAAAGCACATTTTCATAATTCATACCTTTTCTTATCCAAAAACATATCTTACTTTTCATGCATACAGTTTTCCTTCATTATTTCTAGTAGTGTTAATTACACATATTAATTACAATAAGTAAACCTTAGAAACCTTAATTTCTAGTGAAACTAAGAAGTAAGCAATTGTGGGCTATTATACCAGCATTCTTTAGCTTAGCAAATTTATGCATACCTTTCATAATTTCTAAAAAACAGATGCCTTTTTCTTAATAGTACAAACTTTCAATGTGGCATAAGACATGTTTAATAAGAGACTCAAATATCTTTACTTCCCCTGTAACAAGAAGCCAAAAGAAGATAAACCTATATTCAGTAAATCATCTAGATATTCTAGGAATTCTCCATCATTTAATTTAACTTAGCAAAACTTTAAAGTTTCAAGTTACCAAAGAGATTTGGGAAACTATTTTTAAATACACATACCATAAAATACAATTATTGCTAAATGTTTGCCTAAAAACTTTCATCCCACTTACATCTATCTAAATAATTTGCTCCTAACAGTTATGTTTAGATTCCTCGTGAAAACTTCATGAGACATCAGACAAAGCCAGCTATCACCCCAAGCTACTTTTCTTGCTGACAAATTTTGTAAGAGTATAACATGAATATGATTAGTAAACCCAGGTAGCTGTTTATCTGCATTATATTTAATGCTGATAACTCTGAAGATTTACCTATTTTAATTAAACTGAAAAACTCCAATTAGCGTTTATTTACCAAAGATTATCCCAGATCACATGAATTTGAAAAACATTTGGGTTAGTTTCTGTATTCCTGAGAGTTTTAGAATACCCAATCCTTAATTTATATAAGGATTTATTTGTTTTTTAGCCAATTATATAGAGTTCTTTACAAATTAATTTTGGCAATACAATTCAAAGTAAAAAAATCACACATCTGTAACATATATATATATAAACACACACAAACATACAGACACAAAGAGATCTTATAGCTTTTGTTTTAAATTTTTAACCATAAGACAGGTATGATATTGCAAAATTCACTAGTTTGTAAAGGTCAGTCTGGCAGATGGAATAAATTAAAGTTACCTACTTAGATGACTAAAACGTTTTCTACTAATTTTTGTAAAGATATTCAGGATTTTTCATTAGCCCAATTTCTAAATACTCCCTTCTTCTCTCACTCTCTTCTGATGGTAAAGGCCTCCCTACAGTATGCATTTCATAGAATGTCTCTTAGGTCCTAGAGAAGCTAGGGGTAGAAAATCTACATCACAAAGGCACAGAGAGAGTGTCCAAGTTTTCTCCAGGATGGGGTCTCGGGGACATATTTGCCTATTTTCAGAGGTTTAGGGTTATTTAAATGTTTCCTTTTTTTCCCTAAATGCAGGACAACTTTGTTCCAAACCTCCCAATATGTACATGCATTTGAGATGAATAGGCAAGGTCTGGGGATTGGTAAATATAGGTGGCATTTGAATTGCTTCTAGAGCCATATTTCTGGTTTTACAGAGCTTTGCAAGACAGAGAGCTTTGAAAGACAATTTCCAGTTCCCCAAAGAATTGAATTGTAGCCTGAATGATATCAAAATGCTGATCCACCCACTGAACTACATTTTCTTTAATTTGTTTCTTTATCTCAGGGATATATCCAACTAAGATAGAAATCAAAATATTCTTTTTTTATGTCCTTGAACTTCAAGGTTTCGTGCACTAGGTCTTTTAAAAGTCTGTATAGAACATTAATATGAAGAAGACCTTCAGATGCTCTCCTTTCTGAGTGTATGATACAACCTTGGACCAATTTACATTGAGTGGGAAAGCCTCTAATATTGCTCTTATCAAGTCTTGAATATTATTCTCCAGTTGAGCCATTTCCTGGGATGGCCTCAGAGAGATTCTGGCCATTTGTTTCCTCTGGCAGGAGACAGGGGAGTCTGCAGAAGGCTGAGAGGCTTGCTGATCACTACAGTATAACTGTGCCTTGGAAGAATGCCCCTTAGCAGCCAATCTAGGTCCCTGTGAGTATGGTCATAGAAGACCGCTACTCTTTCCAGCTCCTCTCAATTTGGTAGGATTCTCTGGGAACAGAAGCAGACGGGTTTTACAATTTAAAAGATCTGCTGCTGTCCAGGGTGCATGAATTCTTTGTGGTAAGCGTCCTGGATTCATCCACAAAGAACATTTTATAGGAAGGTCTAAAGCCCTAGAAAGAAGGAGGAATCGTAAGGAACAGCAAAGCAAACCCCACGGCCCATCTCTCATGTGCTTCTACACTCACTTCCTAGCTTTTAGTATTTGCATGAGTAATCTGTATAGCCCTGGCTTGGAAATAAGGCTGGAGTGCTCTCCATAAATTTTGTAAAGAAAGGCATGTGAAAACAGACAGCTGGGATTTTCTGGGGAAATTGGAAGAGTTTTGAGATCTGAGGGAATTTGCTGAGGTGATGGGGCTGGATTTTGAGAGGGGTCCAGAGATCCAAAAGATCTCTGGAGGGTCAGAAATGGGGACAGAGGACTGGGGACAAAGTCTGCATAAGAGGGTGGAGAAGGGGAATCTGTTAGACGTGGACTCTCATTTTCAATCCAAGTCTAATTTCTGTTCTTCCATCTTATTAAGGGAGTCTGTAAGGCTCACCGTTACACTTCCTTGTGGCCGTTTTTAATATGGTCTTTCCATTGGTACCAGTAAGACAATTGTTTACAGGAGCAGAGCTCTCTCAAAAAATTTTCAAATATAAAAGTTTGTGCAATTCAAAGAATCCCTTATCTGGCCACTTACAATTGGGATCATATTTTAATCTCAAAAGCTACTCAAACCAATAAGCCTTTTTATGGCTCAGTCATGGATACAAGAGGTGTCCCCAAAGGAGGATGAAAAGGATGCAGCCCTCATGACACCCAGAAAGCTCACATCCCATCAGCCTAAGAAAACAAAGACTTCATCATCACAGGCAGCAGGAATGGTGGAGTGCAAATTCTGTGTCTGATTTCTCACGAGAACGGGATGGCTCTACTCACAGACCCACTCATCTGTGACATGAGGCAGGCACGACCAGAAGGGGACTCTTCCAGCACTGACCGGACAAAGGTCTCTTGCAAACCAGGACCACCATGACAAGCTTCCCAGAGAACTGGCCCAGTTGGACAAAGAGAATACTGATGCCCGCTGCCCGTCCAGGTTGTTACCTGTACTTCTGATCAATTAGAGGTTCCCATGACCTCCTCTACCTTTGTATCCACAGCCTCATCCTACTGGCTGTCCACCAGATGCACGATGGCACATGAATTGTCCAGTTGCCAAAGACCAGAGAGAATATTCTCACTGGTCACAAAGCCAAGCTCCCAAGTCACAGGACAAGACAAAAGGAAAACCTGAGATTTTCCTTTTATGCACACTCCATCCAGTTTTCCTTATATGAACGCTCACAGTTCAGCTAAGCCTGGGATTTCTCACGGCCAAACTAATATCTGTTGGGAAAAAAACAAAATCCAACCAGGTAAATGTGAAGATCTAAGTGGCTTTATTGAGCAATTCTTGAATTGGGAAGCATCCTCTCTGGCAAGTAGAGAGATGCTCCAAAGGGCTGCTGAAGGGGAGAGGTTTTTAAAGGCAGGACAAGCATCACTGGCTAATGCTCTGAGCAGCTCCAAAGTCTTTGCTTTGACCTGCTTCTATTTCAAAATCCTAAAGTTTCCAAAGCACCTAATGTGTTCACAAAGTTGTTTTTCAGTCAAGTTCTAGGAAGAGATGTAATCTCTCACTGCTCTAAACCAGTTTGGACCACACCACAGGAGCAACGCCTGTGCAGATAACCAAAGAAGGGCCCGAGGGCTCTCCCTTCCCCATCAGTAAAATCCCCACCAGGGGGCAGCTACAACGTGAACCAGCACACACAATATGTGCAGAATCATGATCCTGTCATGCGCCTGCGCTGACGTCACCCACCTCTGCCTGTAGGGACAAAGCTTCCCTGCCTGAGTACTCATCCCCGACCCCCATACATGAACCAACCCTCCCTTGCTCGTGGAATCATGGGTTGGAGGGGCAATCCCCTGGGTCTCCTTATTTGCTGCAAATAAATTTACTCTGTATGACAACTACTTCTGGGGAAGGTCTTTGATTTCAACTCACCAAGAAGTGAACTCATGTCAGTTTGGTAACACAAGGACGTCACAAACAGAGAAAAGGATTTTTTCTGGTGAGGTCAGTTTCATGTGGGGGCAAAAGCGTCATATCAGGTGGATTATTTCATCTTCATTTGGTGAATGGAGAGAGCACATGTGACATTAACTTATCAATGCTGACTAGAAAATCCCTGACTGACTATATTTCTGGGGGAGGTTGAAGTGGTGATTAGGTTAGGTGACTCAGCCTAGCAGAAATGACCACCTGTTGGGCCTATGACTTTCTTTTTAACATCCCTAAGAGGCATGCACCCTGAGTTGGGGATTTCTAGAGTTCTACATAGTACCTTGTTGCACAGAAATTTTCTTGAGGCGGGTGGGTGACCTTGTGTCCATCTGACCCATTCTGTGACCAACTCACCCTAACACAGGGGCCTTGGGTTAAGTGGCAAGCACTCTAACAAAAGTTTTTAAGTGCTTGACCCATGCCCCCCAGCTTTGCAGGTTTTCTTCCAAGACATCTCTTAGTAACAGCTTCAGCTCATGTGCACATTAACCCACCTCAGAGTCGTCTAACAGATGCCCGTCTGGTGAGAACCGCAAACCCTCCAGTCCATGAGGCTGCCTCGAACCACAGGTGCACAGGGCCAGTCCTGGGTTCTTTCCTGTGGTTTCCCTCCTGTAACAGGTGACACAACAGGCAGAGACAAAGACAAACAGCGACCATCTCTGGGAAGAAAAGGATCAATAAAAACCAAAGGTGCTCAAAACAAATCTTTACCAGAATCACTATATCCAAGGAACTAGTTCACAAGATATTTTCTCCTGCTCATCTAAATTTAGAAAAAGCGGGGAAAGGGCTCTCACCACTGTTGCTTCCATGGGACCCAGGCAGAGATTCAGGAAACCGACATGCTAAGAATTCTGACCTTCTGCCTGCTTTTTGTCCAAGGTGCCCGGGTCTCAGCTCCAGCAGCCCCGGAGCCAGCAGGGTCCAGCCAGGGAAGGACCATCCGGTTGCCAAAACCATAGGAGTGGAAAAGTTTTCCCGTCTTCCCTGTAAAACAAACAAAAGTTTAATAACACGTATGTCTCCTGTATACATGTGGGAGACCCGGGAAAACAGTAACTCTCCCAAATGGCAAAAGCCATCACCTTAAATACCATCTTCAGCTAAAGACAGAAGAGGGTGGGGGCAGGGAGTCAGTTACCAGACCGGAGGTGAGCAGGGCAAGCACAGTAAACAGGGTCAGGCTGGTACCAAGTTTAAGCTCTGCCTTCTCCACTAGGAACAGTGCCGACATTTGGACATCTCCTCTTCCTGGTGCAGAGGGAGAAGCCCTTCCCGAAGGAGATTCCCCATACACGGCCTGGAAACGCCCCTTCCTACAGGGCAGCTTCCGCTCGGTGTTCAGAGCTCTGCCTGTGGCTCTGCTTTTCATCAGCCAGCCCAAAACAATCCATGAGCTCAAGAGGCCCATTTTGGGGTGGCATCCTTTGCTCCTTCAGTGACATTTCCTAAGAACACATCGCCCACAGTGACAGGGCTGCAAGTCAGACTCCATCTCACATTCCCCTTCCAGGACTTTCTCCGCGCCGTCTTCTATGGCACCATTTCTACAGCCTCTTCTGGGCAATGAAAAATGACTTGACTAAGAGGATGACATTTACAAGGCTGGGAGACGCCTGAGAGTGAGAACGTGGTTAAATAAATACCAAGCTCATGCGATTGAGAACACAAGCAAGGAGACATCAGCCCCAAATGTACGACCTGCAAGCATTTCCCGCACTCTCTCGGCCTTGTCTATGCACCCAGGCTCCTTGTTCTTTTACCGACAGACCGAGAAACACACTGGTCTTTTTTCTGGCATGAGGCGTGGAGATGTTTTGAGAGATCCAGTGTGTCTCTTGTTCTAAGAACCCTTTGAGGATGTGAGTTATGGGGCCTTTCCTCCCGCCTCGGTTCCTTTAACTTATGCTCATAGCTTGGCAAAGAACTCTTTAACTGCCTGGCCCATCAGGCCAAGCCGTAAATTTCCTGCCTCATTGCCCTGTGGAGAAGCCGTCTGGAAGCTTTCCACGCTGGAGTAGTTGGGAACTTCCTCAAGATGAATGGTCTCACAGGGCAACATCCGCCTGCGCTCCGGGCAGGGCAGTGCAGGGCACGCGCCGCGGGCCTCCCTCCCTGGCTGTGTGCTCTAGGACGAGCCGCGGGATCACCCTGGGCTTCTCATCTGTGAAATGAGGGTAATCCTTCTCACCTCCCTGTAATGGTTTGAAGGTTAATAAGATAAAGTGTGTGTGAACCAGAGACAATGTTAAAAACAGCAGCTAAGGACAGTGCATCCCGGAACAGGGCCTTCTCCCATGAAGCTGCCGTAGCCTTTCTGCTTGAGCTCCATGGCGGGAAGGCCCCTCCCCCGCTGCTCCCATCACCTTGCACGTTTGAAATTCAAAATACCGCTGGAGTCCCTGCATCATAATGGTTGAAGAAACGGTGGCCCTGGGATTTGCTGGGTCCAAACCTATTCCATTCTCTTCCTTTCTCTCTGAAATGCGCAACAGGATGCGCAGCCCAGAGGGCCATGAAAATTGCAAATGCCAGCTTGAGAAGCTGGTCTTGGTTTCCTGAGCACCTTCCTGCACGGGTGCCCACCTGTCCTCGCAGCCAGAGGGTACTATTTTCCCTTTTATATTCTTCTCCCACCTTTGGCAACAGCCCAGGGCTCTCCTGCAGGAACTTCTGAGTGCGTCTTCACGGGCTACAGTATCTCTGCTTCGCTCCCCTGTGAAATAGTAACATGAGGATCTCAGCCCAGGAGGATGGTGTGTGAGCAGGAACTGAGACTCCACGTCTTAGTTCTGGCCACAGCAGCACATGGGTACCAACCCACAGGAGTGCCTACTTCCGGGAAAGGCCATCACATCCAGCAGGATGCACCCTTAGCGATGCATAACTGGCCTGTGCTTAAACCTTCCACTGTGTGTATGAAGGCAGCAGGGCCAGAACTGCCGTCTGAACTGATGGTGTGTAAGTCCAACAAGGGGGGTGGCTGAGTGTAAAAACCTCTGGGCTTTTAGAGCTCCCAGCACTGGCTCCCGCCCAGGAATGCCAGGGTCCCCTACTCTTTCCACACTGAGGTCTAGTTTTTGGCCAGAAGTGTCTGTTTCTCTCTCCCAGAGGAGAATCCTCAGAGAGGCTCTCCACAGCATCCACGCCAGCACCCGGCACCCAGGAGAGAGGGCACCTCTAACTTTCATCTGAGCTTAAGGCACTTAGGGGTCCTCACCCCACTGCAGAGAGAAGCGTGTGCAGAAAAAAGGAGGGAGGGCTAGTTTAGACAGAGGAGCTTTACGTTTGTTGTGGCAGATAGTTCCGTAACAAGTGTAGGGAAGTGAAAGACCTGTCCCCTCATCACGCATCTGAAGTCGGAGTGAATGTGATGTGGTTCACTGTAGACCTCTGACCCTGTCAAATCTTTCTCAGGAACTACACAGAGCTCTGGATCTTTTCTCAAATTAACTCTTGCTTCCTCCTGCAATTGCTGTAGAATTTTTTTGTATCAGTTTTTTCAAATTACATCATTATTTACATCATTATATATCCTACCAAATGCAAAAAGAGAAAAAAAAGTATCAATTTTTGAGAAACATGGTTTGGTGCCTCTTGCATCTCAAAAGTAGTCCTACCAAGGATTAGACATCTGAGATATAACCCCTTCTCTTTTCCTTACCTGTTATTTTATAAGGTGAAATTTATGTATATGGGATGCACAGATATCTTAAGTATAGCATTCAGTGAGTTCTGACAAACTGAGTTTTGATCACCTGTGTGATCACCCCCATCATAACACAGAACATTCCCATCATCAAGGCAAGTTTACCACGTCCTTTGTCTTCCCGCATACCAGCGCCACAGACAACCTCTTTGTGGTTTCTATCAGCATAGACTCATCTGTCGTGTTCTAGAACTTCATTATAGAACCAATAATGCTTTTAAGATGCATTCAGTTTCATACCCCAGGAGTTTGTTTTTTCTGTCCATTATTCAAATATGTCACAATTTCTTCATCCACTCTCCTAGAGATGGAAATGTGGTTGTTTTCAATGATCAACTAGTAAGAATAATGCTGTTATGAAGACAATCATACAACTGTTATAGTGGACATATGTTTTTATTTCTTGTGATAAATGTCTGGAAGTAGAATTGCTTGATCAGAGGGCAGGGGACTGTTTAACTTGATACAAAACTGCCAAATACTTTTCCAAGGTGATTGTACCTTTATATGCTCCCATGACAATGGGTTGTGGCGACTCCATAACCTCGACATTTGGTGTTGTCAGTCTTTAATTTTAGCCATTCTCCTAGGGCATAGAAGTATCTCATTGTGGCTTTAACTTGCATATTGCTGATGAATATTAAATACTCTTTTATGGGCTTTTTGTTTCCTTTGTGAAGTCTATGTACCAGTATCTTTTCCCTTTTTGATTGGGTTGTTTTGTCTTACAATTTCAGAGTTGTAAAGCTTATCTCCCAGAGGTTTTTCTTCTGTGGTTTCTTTTCTGTAAATTTTATAGTTTTGGCCCTCATACTGAGGTCAAGGATCCATTTCAAGTGAACTCTTTTACATGGTGTGAGATAAAGGTTGAGGTTCATATTTTCCATATGGATATCCAGTTATTTGAGCACCTTTTGCGGGACAGATTATCTTTTCTGCTATTGAATTACCTTGGCACCTTTGTGGAAAATCAATCGACCACCTTCGTGTGGATCCATTTCTAGAGTCTATCTATATTCCATGCCAATGTCTACCTCTTTGTCAATACACACAGGAAGGTGCTATATGTTTATAGTAAGAGCTATGTATTTATGGTAAGTCTTGAAATCAAGTAGTACAATTTCTCCAACTTTATTCTTCCTTTTCAAAATTGGTTTGGATATTCTATAACATTTCCATAAAAATGGCATTTCTATAAAAATAAGTGTTTTTTTGAGGATTATTTATTTCTTAAATATTTAGTAGACTTGAACAGTGAGTGCTCTAGGCCTTGAGGTTTTTTTTTTCAGTTTTTGGTTTTATTTGTGTGTGTGTGGTGGGGGTGAGGGGACAAGTTTTTAATAACAAATTCAGGGCAATTCAGCTTTTCTACTTTTTCTTGTGACCATATTATAAATTGATATCTTACAAGAATTTGGCCATTTTAACTGGCTTGTTGAATTTATTAGCAGAAAGCTATTCATATTATTTCCTTACCCTTTCCATGTCTTTTAAATCTATAGTGATGCCTGTCTTTTATTTCTGATATTAATAATTTGTCTTCCCTTCAGGCCATTGAGACATTTGTGAATTTCATTCATCTTGCCAAAGAGCCAACTTTTTGTCTTACTGATTTTCTCTATAGTATCTCCATTGTTTATTTTACTAATTATTAGTATTATTGCTTTCCTTCTACTTTTGAGGGTTTAATTTTTTTCTTCATTTTTAACTTTATGGACCATTGATGTTGAACTTTTCTTCTTATTTAGTGTATGTATTTAAAGCCAAAAGTTCCCTTCTATGTACTACTTTCCTTCTATGTACTACTTTAACTGAATTTCCAATTTTTAAATTCTTTAAAAAGTACTTCTAAAATAGTTTCTAATTGCTCTTGTGACTTTTCTTTGGTCCATGGGTTATTTAAAAATATGTTACTTAGCAGTGAGAAGCTGAAAGCTTTTCACCCAAGATTGGGAACAAGACAGGGATGCCCACTCTCCCCACTATTATTCAACATAGTACTGGAGGTCCCAGCCATAGCAATCAGACAAAACAAAGAAATAAAAGGTATCCAGATTGTTAAGGAAGAAGGTAAACTGTCACTGTTTGCAGATGACATGATACTGTATATAAAAAACCCTAAAAACTCCACTCCAAAACTACTAGAACTAATATCTGAATTCAGGAAAGTTGTGGGATACAAAATTAATATACAGAAATCTGTTGCATTCCTATATACTAATGATGAACTAGCAGAAAGAGAAATCAGGAAAACAATTCCATTCACAATGGCATCAAAAAGAATAAAATACCTAGGAATAAACCTAACCAAGGAAGTGAAAGACCTATACCCTGAAAACTACAAGACACTCTTAAGAGAAATTAAGGAGGACACTAACAAATGGAAATTCATCCCATGCTTTTGGGTAGGAAGAATTAATATTGTCAAAATGGCCATTCTGCATAAAGTAATCTACAGATTCAATGCAATCCCTATCAAAATACCAACAGCATTCTTCAGTGAACTGGAACAAATAGTTCTTAACTTCATATGGAACCATAAAAGACCCCAAATAGCCAAAGCAATCCTGAGAAGGAAGAGTAAAGTGGGGG